GAGGGGGGTAAGAAGGTGTCTTGGTTTCCTACAATTTTTAAACCTCAGCCTAACCACTTTGAATGAGGGGGTAACTGACTGTGTTGATATTTCACTCTCTTGTCTACAACACACGTAAGATCATAAGTTTTTTTTTTTTTTTTAGCGATTTGGCTTCCTTGTTCCGGCAGAAAGACAGAGAATCTCAATAAAATAGGCTTCTCCACTTGAAAACCGTGTTCACGTACATTGCCTATCTAAATTAAGTTTGTTTTTTTTTTCTCTCGAAATTATTGGGTTAAATAAGCTTTCTTTGCGAGTTTTGACCCTCACTGATTAACTGACAGACAGACAGACAGAAAGAGAAAGAATTTGAGAAAGAAAGAGAACAGCGAAAGATAATAAAAACGAGAGTTAGAGTGAGAGAGAAAGAGAAAGAGAGATAGCCTCTTGTGAGAATGAGACTGCCTCTGAAGCGTTTATCCTGGCCGAAATTCATTCTTTCCCAAGGTTACTGTTTTTAATAGCTCATTACGATATATGTCCTTGTTAACTAAACTTGTCTTGCATTTCTTCTCTATGAAGAAGATAATGTTCACGGAGCAAACTGCTTTTGTATTATGTTTTGATGACTTGCAGAATAATAAAGAAATGGTTACATGTATCATGGTGATGGATAAAATATGTACCCCCAAAGCATGGTCGTCATATTGAACATTATGTGTGTGTTTTTAAAATAGGCTACTTTCAAGACGCTTTTTCATAATTGATTCAACACTTCTCAACCAACAGATTAGGCCTAGGCTATTGCGCTGGGTAGGAATTTCAATAGAAAGGGGCGGTGAAATGGGGGAAAGGTGTGGGATAATCATTTTTCAGCCAGTTCCGTGTATTCTGGCAAAGGTTCTCCTTCCTGAGATGATTTATGTAACAATTGTGTCCAAGCTCACCCCTTCTCCTCACTATTTATTATTATTTGCTGGGACAATCCTTGCAGTTTGTCCGTCCGCCTAGCCGGTGGTGGCTCGGCACACACACACACACACACACACGCGCACGCCCCGCGCGCTCTGTGTGCCTGTTCCTAGACCAAGGCGCACACAGACAGGAAGTGAGGATCAGGCCGTGTGGGATGGAAAAACTTTGATGGCTCGGCGCAAGAAACTTCTCAAACTTTTGCGAGGAGGAAGGTGTGTTGTGCGAAAGTTCCTGGATTTTTCTCTTGTGTTAGAATCTAATTGTTTTTCTCACATGGAATTTGGTTATGTCAAGTGGTGAATTCATTAAGGTTGGGTGGTTTTATTGAGATCGTTTTTTGTTGTGAGGACCTACCAGCCACACATCAGCTCAGGATTTCTTGATCTCATTCATCGTCGCGCTGCTTCCTTTCTTTCTGGCACCACGTTCGCTTGCACGACCCACGGTTGTAAGGCCAACGTTCTATTACAGTATTAGAGCGGTGCCCAGCAGGGATCGCAGGGCACTGTTTTGGTATTTTTTCATACTTCACGGTGCAGAGTTGCTATTCTATCATTAAATTGGATTTCTTTATCGATTGACAGTCAGATCAATAGTGACAATGTCAAAATAGTGATGTTTTTCAGCATAGCCTAGACTACAAGGCAAGGTTAGGAACGAACCGTACAATTTTCTTAGCCTACAATACAAAATAGACCCAGATCCAGAAGGGTGGCTCGATCGGTTCCAGTTTTAGGGCGTGTTTTATTTAAAGAAAAACAAAACAAAAACAAGTGTAGGCTTTTATACCTATAGATCTAGATCTAGATCTAGGCCTAGATTTTACACTTCATTTTTCTGCAAGACTAGAAATCTAGATTCTAGAGTTTCTGCAAGACTAGAAATCTAGATTCTAGATCTAGACTCTATGTTAGATCTAATGTAGATCTAGATCTAGCCTATGTAAAACTCGAAAATTATTCTCGCTTATTAGCTTAGGGTACAGCCTGGATTCTATATTTACTGGTAACCTGCAGGAATGAAGGAGGGGGTATATACATCTCTACAATTATGAAGATAATAAGATGATAGGATCTAGATCTAGATCTAGATCTAGAATCTAGATCTAAATCTAGATTCTCTAGTAAGTTTCAATTACAAGCTGATTAAATTTAAGTTTTATTTAACTCATGTAACTGCATGCTAGGAGAATCGCATTGTCAGTGTACGTGTTTTAAGGCATAGGGCAGGATGGTTTTCTTTTATCTTTGTTTGTGTTCTTGCACCTTGTGTATTTGATGTAATGTTCAGCCCTTTGAATTGAATTGTTCAGTGACCAGGTGAACTTCTGTTAAAAACATTTCATTTGTAGATTTTTTCTCTCTATTGTTACTAGAAGATCTAGAGATAATATATATGACAATAAATGGTTACAGGTAGGTAGGCCCAGACAACCCCAGAAATTTCAGGAAAAGACTGGTATAAATCATCAGCTTCATGTTTTGAAGGACATCTGTTGTGAAGCTTTGGGAAAGTCTTTGGAGTGAGCACTCATTATATTGAGAGTAGAAAGAATCTTGAGCTTGGGTTATGGTTGTAAATATGTGACATCATGTAGTTGAAGGTACAAATACTTCTTCAGGAATCTGAACATCTCTTGTTTCTTCGCTGTTGGCAAGAGCCAGAAGTGCTCTGTGTAGGTCTCGCAATCTTTTTCGCTGTTTTTTTCCTTCTGACATTTGTGGGATCTTGCTGTGCATAGGAGGAGGATTATTTTCCTTGTTGGAGTAGAACAAGTGCCAAGTTTGCTGTTTGGATAGGATACAACGCACAGGCTTCCCATCAAAGAGGAGGTAGAGCTTTTATCTGCCTACCTGCCTCTTGTATACTGTGTGGTTTTCCTCTTTTTGGATGTCAGGTAAGCCGTTTTCTTCCTCAAGATCTAAGGTTAACGGTTAGAATTAATCAAGGAGCGCCTGCCAGACAGAAAACAGCTTATATTTACTAACAGTCTTGATAGAGGTTGCTAGCTTGTTATATATATATCTTATGGAGGTTGCTAGTGTGTTATGTTTAACAGAGGTTGCTGTGTTGTTATGTATGGCACCCTGATCTTCTAAGATTAAATGTCATAGATTTGCCTGTGTGAAGGCCCACCTTTGCAAGAGTTGAGAGGTTGTCACTGGATAGGCCTGCTTTTCTTTTGTGTGTGTATGTGTGTGTGTTGGTGGGTATTCAGAGATGTCCTTTACTTGTCTGTCCCATGCATGCTGTTTCTGTAATTTTAAGGAGGTTGCTTTCAATTTTTTTTCTACAATGGCAAAAAATATTTGTGAAATTCAAATATATGTTTGTAAATAATTCCTGCACTTTATTTACTTAATGTTCTGAACTAATGAAAGAACAAGGTCAAGAGGGTTTCAAAATATAAAAAAACCAACAATTTTATGGTCTGATGGTCCCAAGGTGAACTGTGTGTGCAGGAAAATAATATTTTATGCTAAATGGGAGATCTGGTCTTTGTGTAGGAAATACTTGGGTACTTAGATCAATGCACTACTGGGCTTAATGACAACAATTAAATAGGCCTATAGAGAGTGGAGGAAAGTGACAGATTGTATGGACCTGTCTTTATAATATTGCTAATCTAATTTCAGCGAGAAAAACTTTATTTAGATACATATAACATAGGTGAGAAGGTAACTGATGCACCTCACCACTGAATAGATCAATTTTTTAAAAAAATGTGAAATATTTTTCTTTATGTAAGGGTCTTGTTGAACCAAACTGTTGAAGTAAAGATAAAAACAGCCTTAGCTTTAAGTCAATTGTCTGCTTTTAGTTGAAGTTGAATCTTTGACTTTGAGTCTGTGGGTGCAAAACTCTGAAAGCGTTCAAAATAGGAACATTGGGTGAGTCATTGACATTGAAGAAATCAGCAACGCTGTTGCTGAATCATGGACTCAAAAGTGGTTACATTTCTGAAGTATAAATTTTATATATATACTCCAGTTTGCAAGCAGCCACAATTGTAAATGAAACGGGCCTCTTTTTTTTCTTTTACATTTTCGCAAATCGGTACTTCAGGACATGTTCGTTGCAGCCGGGTCATGAGAGTTGAGCACTGAGGGAGGAGGGTCATGGGTCAGGGTTAGGGGTCGGGCAGATTATGGGAAAATGTCTGGTCAGACGAAATAAATATTGGCGGTGATAACGCGGGGGTTTTGGTGCATTCTGCGGGTGGGGTGAAACTGATGTTCACAGCGATGGATGTTGTTAAGATTCACTGGGCCCTTTCTACTAGCCCCCCCC